ATCCCTGCAAACCCGCCAGTAGTTTCTCTTCCAAATACCTGAATGTCGCCATCTTGGATCGGGCAATCAAAGTGGGTAACCCCAAATATTTATCATGAACCCCTACTGCACCGACCCCAAGAATCGCAGCCAGAAACTCCTGATCAGCCAAGGCAATATTTTTGCTAAAGCAGACTGCCGACTTTTCCAGGTTAACCCGCTGCCCACTCAGCTCCTCATACTCATTGAGCACCACAATTAAATTCTTGCACTCCTGAAGAGAACCTCGCAGGAATAGATAGGAATCATCCGCGAAAAATAGATGCGAGATCCTCGGAGCCCGCGGTGCCACCTTTACTCCCTCCAACTTCTTTTCCGAGATCGCCTTCCGAAGAAGGGCCGCAAACCCTTCCGTGTAGAGCACGAACAGGAGAGGCGACAATGGATCTCCCTGTCTGAGTCCCCGAGAGGAACCGAAAAAACCCGAAGGCGTACCATTCATCAGAACCGAAAAAGTAGCAGATCTAAGACATTCATGTACCCATCCTTGCCAGACAGAGTTAAAACCCATCTTTTCCAAAACTGCTAGAAGGAAGGGCCATTCGACTCTATCATAGGCCTTTTCCATGTCAACCTTTAGAGCCATGTACCCCTTCTTCCCCTGCCTTTTTATTTTAAGATAATGCATTAACTCATGCCCAAGAAGGACGTTATCAATGATCTGCCGATCTTTTATAAACGCATTTTGCCCCTCAGACACGATTTGAGGGAGCAAACCCACCAGCCGCTCAGCCATGATCTTGGTTATAACTTTATAAACGAACTGACATAGACTGATCGGACGCAGCTGGCGGACATTTTCCACAGCATCTACCTTAGGGATCAACGTAAGCCACGTATGATTAAAACTCCGTAGCATTCGACTAGTCGTAAAGAAAGAACAAACCGCCTCAACCACTGATGCACCCACAACATCCCAGAATGCCTTGAAGAATTTGCCAGTAAAGCCATCCGACCCCGGAGCCTGCTTCGATCCCATAGAAAAGACCGTTTTCCGAACCTCCTCCGGTAAAACCACCGCCGTTAAAAGCGCATTCATCTGCGGAGTAACCGACTGGGGGATTGGAAGGCTCGCCACTCTATCAGCCATGTTGTGCACCTGTGACTCCGAGGTAAATAGAGATTGGTAAAAGCTGGTAGCAATCCTAGCCTTCCTGCTCTCTTCCGTAACCCACTCACCCTCATCATCCCGGAGCCCAGCGACAAAATTCCTTTTCCGACGAGCACGCGTAACCGTGTGGAAATAAGATGAGTTTTGGTCCCCTCGTTTCAGCCATCGGACCCTGGATTTCTGCTGCCAGTACAACTCCTCCGCATCCCATTGACGAGATAATTCCATCTCCAGGGCTCGAACCGCATCCCAATCCACAGGATAGATGGACTTGACTCGGTCAACCTCAGCCTAGAGAGTTCTAATATTACGCAAGGAGTTTGTGGTTCCCGCTCTACTCCAATCATACAGCAGATGCCTGAGTTTCTTGAGGCGTTCCCAAAGCCGAAACATAGGGGTGCCTTGCCGCTCCTCCTGCCTGACATACTGGACCATAGCCCTAACCTCAGGATTCTCCGCCCAACGAGCATCAAACCGGAAAAGAGGCCGGCTATTCCGAGTGTATGGTTTATCAGCGAGAAGAAGGGCCTGATGGTCGGACCCCTGATCCGTAAACTGTTTAACCAAGGTCTCAGGATACATATCTATCCAGGACTGGGAACAAAGGGCCTTATCCATCCATTCGCGAATGCACGCCTCCCCCATCCGCTTGTTGGTCCAGGTAAACTGATCCCCTTGGTATCCTGGATCATGGAGTCCTAACTCATGGACAAACTCCCGCAGGCTGGCGGCTTGAGCCGCATTCCAAGCCCGACCCCCATCTTTTTCTCCCTCATGGAGGGTGACGTTAAAATCACCAATGACCACGAAAGGTTGGTTCGTATTAGCACACACTTCACGTAAATGAGCCAACTGGCTATCACGAACAGCCGCATTACAGCTAATGTAAACAAAAAACACCAAATAGGAAAAATCACCTTCATTAATTTGCGAACAAATATAGAAACTGGAAAAACAAAACACCGAAGTGTTAACCCTGGGGGCCCAAGCTACAACTAAACCACCCGATGCATCAACTGCATCAACAAAAAAACAATGGGAGCTCTCAAACCCTAAACCCCGCATCCGGCGGGCCACTATACGCCGGCTCGATCGTGTTTCAGAAAAAAAACACAACCTCCGGCTTATTAGAATGAACAAGCCCTAAAGCAGAATGGAAGGTGAGGGATGGCCCAATTCCTCTCACATTCCAGGCCAGAAGCCTCATTTATCCACTGGGGGCCACTCGAGGCTGGCTTCCTCCACCTTTTCATGGATGTCCACTGCTTCCACAAATTGTCTCTTCGGAGTAGGAGGGTCTCCCACAGTCCCCTCAACTTCCTCAATCATTCGCTTCCGATTCTCCATGATTGGTTCCTCAAGATTTGGGTGACCTGCGTTTGATTTCAAACGAATGGGCTACCTCCAGCGATTGATCCTCATCAGAGTCAGATCCCTGCTGATGTTTCACCATTTTGGGTTCCTCAAAACTATCCCCAGCCTCCTTATCCTCCAGATCACGAACAGCATCCGCTGGAGACCCCTCCTCTACCAGGGTGGCCGCAGTCGGTGGGGAGCTAGCTCCCCCTTTCCTCAACCGCAGACGAGCCCGAGGTGCTGTGCCCCCTGGTTTAGCCCCAGTCATATGGGCAGCCTTCTTCAATATAGGCTCAGGGATCATATTCTCCTCCTCCTCAGATTCTTCCTGCAAAATCAGCCTACGCCTTCTGGATTGCTCAAGAACTATCTCCACCGGATCAGCCTCCATTTGAGCGTGAGTGGCCTGCTTCATGCGCCTACCAGGCTGCTGGCGGCCTTTAGCTGCCTGTGGTGCAAGACTGGTACTCTTCCTGGGTGACCGCTTCTTCTGAGGGTATCTCACCCCGCCACCAACCTTCACCCGGGGAGACTTCTTGAGGCTAAACCTTTTGGGACTTTTATGGTTCCCGGCCTTCTGGCTGACTGGTTAACGCAGCCTAGGTTGAGTCTTCATGCTGGCTTGATCTTCTGGGTGATTAGCAGACCGAATATGGTGCATCCCTGGAGTCTGAGTATTCGTGGCGGGCACCCGCGGCCCCTCCTCCACTCGGCCCTTGGCAGACCTTGCTTTTCCGTCATTGTGAATGTGAACATTCTTGTTGATCCACACCAACTTACTTGTGTCCCGATATCTTGAGAAATCATCCTCCTCCATGTATATCTTCCGCCCGAGCTTCCTAGTTGACATGTGCGGGCCAAAGCGTTCTTTCCCCAGTGGAGGGTCAAAAACTCAGTCACGCTTGGAGTGGCCCACGCGCCCACAATGGAAGCAGACGGTTGGAAGGAATTCATATTTGAGATTGACCCAGAACTCGCCAAGCTCCTCGCTTACTGCCATGAGTTGAGATCGTAGTGTCTTAGCGAAATTAATGAGCACGTGCACTTTTACAAAAAGCTCCTCCGTCTCCTTAGACGCGAAGACATCGGCCTCCAAAACCTGACCAATCTTCCCCGCTGCCATTTTCTGGCCAAACTGCTTCGTGCAGCAGTCATCTTTCACATTCCAGAGTTGGACCCGAAATGGGGCAAAGGCTAACTCCTCGAATGTGTTCCTGGATATGGATGGTGTCCAGGACCTGAGATGGAAGATCCTGTCCTTGACAATCCAGGGTGACCGCTTCAGGACCCACACCCTTGTTTCGTCACTTGGCAGCACCACTTCAAATAAGCCAAATTTCGTGAGTGAAACCCTAAGGTTTCCTTTCACACGCCATGCTTCAATAAGTCCCTCTTTTAGCTCCGCAGTAGTAAATTTGGCCTCCGAAAAGAGCCTACCCAAAAGGGTCCTAGAGGTTCGAAACCTCACCTATTGGACCTCCTCCAGCGAGAACTCGACCACTTGATCCTCAGCAATTCGCGATGTCATATTCACCTGACAATCATAGACAAGTAAATTATTAGTAACATCACAATTGGGGACTTTCCCCACTGGGCTCGAAGTCAGCAAGCCCAAAGGCCTAATGGTATTGGGAATTAGAACATTAGATAAAGGCTTAATTGGGTTAAATGATTTAGGCCCGAAGGCATCTTGTGGCCCAACTTTTCCCAAGGAGCTGAACCCTCCAGCAGGCCCGACCCCATCCTTTCCGAAATCCGACCCCGGCCCAACACTCTCCATGGAGTCGGGCAAGCCCACCGGGCCCAAAGACCCTTGGTCGCTCCCCTGCTGCCCTAGATGTATTTGCCTACTTAGTGGGTCGAGCCCAGTTTGCTTTGGAGAACCTGGGCCACTCCAGGCCGGCCCAACACTAGGTAATGGTTGCTGGCCCGAAACTCGTCTCCCTCGGCTGCTCGAATTTGCAAGCAGAGCATCGGCGGTCGAAACCGTCGGGGGCAGAGAGCTCTTCGTTGTCGCCGGACCTATCGGCGAGCCAGGGAGAGGAAGCTTCCTCGTTGCGTCGCCCGGCAAAGTGACACAATTACTCGTCAAAGCACGGGTGAGTAGAACTCGCAAACCATAAGAAGATGAATGGGTTTCGGCCAAAGAAACTTTACCCTGATGTTGTCTTGGAAACCAGAGCAGTCGGTGGGAGCTTTTTCCTCCGTCCGCGCTAGTAAATCCAGAAACCCAAGCAATACACCGAAGTGGGGAAGCAGGGGGAGAAGTCAATTTAAAGGCAAAAGACTCCGAGTTCTCCAGCAAGAGGGAGATTCCCCTGCTCCGATTTTTATTTAGAAATCGATTTGGTTTAGGATTAGGAGTCCTTGGAAGGAGATTCGGTTTGATCTCCCAAGATCGGATCAGACCTCCGCTAATCCCGCCCACCACCGCGAAAAACGCTCCCGAAGGATTTTCCGTTTCCGCCTTACGCACCCGAGTTTCCTTCCGCCTTCAATCACCGGCGGCACCGTCCAATTGGCTGAACCCTTCCAAATCAGCGACATTCAAGCTGGGTTTTGTGGAATTGAGATCCACTTTCGACTTGACCTGCTGAATTGCGCAGCATCCCTCCCCGAAGGGGTCCCCTTGATCCTCACCTTCACCACAGATTACTTCCGATTCAACACTGCAACCAGGAGCGCTACTCTCATTTTTCACTAGCTCTTGTGAAATGAGTGCAATCCCTACCCCGAAAGGCCCAGCTGTGCTGAATCGCTTGTTGGTTCGATCATGACCCAAAGGTCTTTCAATTTCCATTTCCGCGGCCGTCAAGGCCTCTGAATCTTCAAGATCGAATTCCGCCGGACTCGGAATTCGGAATCGCCATAGCCTCCGTGGCTCGGCCCGCCTCCTTTTGGTCGGTTGCTCTTCTTCAGCTTGGACATCGGCAAAGACCATTTCCGCCGATCTTTTCCTTCGTCGGGGATATTTCGCCCGACTCCAGGCCCTGGGAGCAGCCTCTCTGACCAAGGACCTCATCAAACATCTTTTGGATTGGTTGAAACCCAATCTGTCGGACTTTCCCGGCTTGGAAAGCCCTCTATCTCCATCAAGTTTCTGGTTCCTCAAACTGGCGGCGAATATGACAGAGCAGATTTGCAGCAGTCGTTCCCCTAGCCAAAGCGAGATCTCGATGAGAGAGGAGAGAGCTCCTCTCATAATTTTTTTTTTTACGAAGGAGTTTAGCTTTAGACTCGTTTTCTTTTGATGAAGAGTGATATTGATGCATACATTCAATACTATTTCAACCTTATGCCTTATCAGCTGAATCATTATTCTTTCATGATTGAGAGAGAAATTATGTTACTCTTTGTACAATAGACTTTCTTAATCTTACTGATTTCATCTTATATAGTAGTACGGATTTAAGTTAAGATCGCAATTTTTGACACAATATGAAATTCAAGATTTACATGCATTGTTGGTATTATGTTTTGCATAATGGACCGCATATGAAATTGATGAGAAAGTATAGACTAATAGTGATAGGGTGCGATATGGTATATCCTGAAACTCGCCGCTGGGTTGCCACGTAACCCAGTACTGGAACTGGAAAATGTGTAGCAGCAAATAGGGTCTGGCCATCTGGCAACCCTTCAAGTTTGTACCTAATGCTGAGGACAAATGATAGGGTTCGAGGGTTTGCAGTTGCAAACACTCTTATGATAACAAATGACCGTTGTTCGCCGGCCACGTGTCTCCGTCAAATCATCGTCCCATGATCTTCCCTCCATAACCGCAACTTCAACACTATGCTACGCAACAAAGGGATTACAAGTTCGAGGGTGCAAGTTGAGGGGTTAATTGTTGGGGGTGCAACTTGCTGGGAATGTAAGGAAGGGTAAATTCTTGTTTGGATGACAAAGTAGGGGTGCAAATAGACTTAAAAGTAAGTAATTATATATTATAAAATAGATTTATCATATTTATAAAATATTATTATAAAATAATAAAAATCAAAATATAATAATACTAAATAATTATTGATAAAAATAATTATTTTATAATAATGCTCAAATAATAATTAATTATAACAACAATAATAATCATTGGTCGAGCGACCTCGAAACTCAAAACTCAACTCATAACTGGTCCTCATAAGGTGGTTCTCGTGCCTACATTTAAATTGAATATGGTCAAACATTGTCACACACGTTCGAATCTGTATGTTTTAACTATTTAGTTAAGTAAACTGAGTCAAGTAAACTGTTCCTCTCTATCTTTTCCACAAACGCTTCTTATCTCTAAATTTCAATGCAAATTTTAGTCAACCAAGAGATATCGATTTGACTAGACGAACATTGACAAACTTGCAACCCAATTTGGCGGGTAAGCCGAAATAGTAATTCTGCATCCTCATTTTGCACCCCCCCTACTGTTACAAATTATCCAAACGGGTGCAAATGTCTTGGAAACTGTGTTTACCCCTCCCATTTGCACCATCTTCCATTTGCACCTCTTCCCAAACATAGTGCAAAAGACTCTTCTTGAGTCTCGACACTTCGTAGTGGCATGGCACAACCCTATAGCTATTAGATGTGATCTCATCTCCCCCCAATTGTACAGGTAAGGAATCAAGCAAGACACATATTTCTTGAGAATAGCCCTACCCACTAATCGAATATTTATCAATAATAGTCTTAGCATCATCACAAATAGAGAATGTTTTTGTTCTCTCCTATGACATTCATGATAAGAATCAGTTAATAAAAATATTGAGTTATTGGGAGAGGTTCAATTATGAATTATATATCATTGACTAACAATTCTTGTAGCCGGTCACGTGGTGCTAAGGTCTCCAAGAATGAGCAAAAATTCCTATAGATGCACAAGGTTGTCAAACGAACTCCATCTATACTCGTTGCCTAATCAAAATAAGATGTCTTCTTTACCCGAAGCATCAATTCGTCGTCAGAACCCCTGATGAAATTCAATTAACTTCAAGATGTGATTGGCGTAGAGAAGACTATTTCATCATCGAGAACTCTATGACTCCATTGTGCCGCAAGTGTTTCAACTTTGAGTTGCTTGTGATCAAACTACACACCACATATGTTTTTCCAACTGTAAAAAAATCACATACTATGCATCATGGCCATTAGCATAAAAATAAAGTAGAGTGAACCCTATGAGAGGCCATAAGCCCATAACCGTCTTACTAAAGGAAAATTGAAAAATAAATGCTCCAATGTCACCTCTTTGCATCCACAAATAGGACAAACCGGAATGATGTCTATACCTCGAGCAAATAGAGCCTCGCGAGTGGGAAGGGTACAATGTAAACATTACCAAATAATGAAAATGAACTTTGGTGGAACTTTAACACTCTGATTCCGAAAGAAAGGAGGAAAATTGGAGGAAAGAAAATTTGGAGGGGAGAGAAAATTTGCAAGGGAGGTAAAATGTTGTTTTATGGAAAGTGGAGAAAAAAGTGGTAAGGGAAAAGTATATTGGGAAGTGTGATAGATATGTTTTTATTGGTTATATAGTAGTAAAATAATTTAGTAACGTGTTGATATTTTATTGTTACTTATGAATAGTGAATCAAATTTCTTTCTTGGTAATTTGTTACACTATTGAAAAATTTTCCTCAAATTATAATCTTGATATGATCCAAATGTCAATCCGGTCCATTTTTCTATAACAATTGTAAATTTCATGCACCAAGTATCGAACCACATTATACTTACTTTGGTGTGATATGGTTCAAACGTCGATTTGGTCCTGTGCGATCCGGACCATTGCACACCCTTAGTCATGGCCGACAAAACCACCGATATTTTAAAATTTCGTGAAAATGTTTAAGTAATAATCATACAAAATGGTTACATACAAGATTGGCAACCTACAGGTCGATCCGCGAGTGTATGACACCCGTTTTTCTTACGAGGTCAGAGTCAAAACGGATCGACCCGCTTCAAGGTCGACCATCTATTGATCATCAATTAAGATAATAATTAAGTTGTTTTATATAATTTCAAGACGTATAAAGGATATCAATACGAATTCAAGCTAAGAAAATATAGTGGATCTCTAATTTAATAAAAAAATATTGGACTATTAGTTTTGTAATAATGTATTCGTTTGCCAGCAAATATGATATAGTGAAGGTGTACCATTACTTTAATTAAATTTTTGGGAGCGATTAATATGAAAGACCAAATGATAAGCAGATTTTGCCTGAAAAGTATCTAAAGGGTCAAATTACCATACAATAGAGTCGTCAATTGGCATCCTGGCCAACGTAATTGATCGAACCAAAGCAACGAATTCTTGCGTGAAAAAATGGTGAAGTGTTGCCATATTCCACAAATTGATAGCAGGATCGATGAACGCCGATACATAACTTGTTGTAGGATGAGCACCCGCCCGGTGTCGTGGAATAGAGAGCCAATTATCCAAAATATCAGTACAGTAGTAACGTCTTGAAGCTTTACAAAAACGTCTATTGGATTGTGGGCTAAGGATCCACTATTATGTTTGCTGGGCTGTACTCCAAAATCCAAAATTCTATTTGGGCCGCGAGGTTGACATTATACATCAGCCGAGTCTTAACGGCGGTGGGCCGCACACGGCCGTGAGGTTGCTGGTTCAACTGACATAATCACTAAAACATGAAATCAGGAGTCCCAGCCTCCATAAGGATTAGATAGAGATGAAAACTATTGAGTATTTACCGGTCGAAGATCATACGATGGCAAATATGATTTTTAGTTGGCTGTCAAGATATTTGTAAGGAAGTGGTTACCATACACGAGCCTGTATAAGATCTAAAATAATCTTCTCCCAATAACTCGAGTTATTGGGACCAACTGGTTGTTGACATAGTATCAAAGCCTGGTTTGTCCTTGAGGTCACGTGTTCAAGTCCTCACCAGCGGCGGGTCCAGAACACAGAAGTGCACTGGGCCGCATTTCATTAGAAAATGAGAATAGTAAAAAAATATTATGACTATAATTTTTTTACAATGTAAATTGTACACGACGGTATTTTAATTTAGCGAATGCATTAATAAAAGAGTCCACATCCATACCAATAGTATACACTCTTCAAATAAAATACTTGAGCAATCGACTAGAAATTCATCGCTCATTTTGTTGCGCAAATCAATTTTCACATGTTTCATTGTTGAAAAGGTTCTCTTCGTATTAGCTGTTGAAACGAGCAGCATCAACACTAGACAAATCAATCTACTAATCAATTTGCATTGTGTTTCCATCCCTATATCCACTAGCTACTCTAGTAAATTTTCAAGGTAACAAATCTCATATATGTATTAGTCTTTTACGTTTTATACTTTTTGAATTTTTAGGTTTCATTATTTTTTTAGACGAATAACCTTTGGGGTTAGAGTTTATAAGCTAATTTAGAGTAGTGATTTTGAATATGTTCATCTGAATCATTTTTCTAATTATACCCAATCTTATTGTACGACCCGGATATCTAAAATCGAAAAATTCATAAGGTCTATATTAACTATGGATCCAGAGGAGGGCTGGGCCCGGGGTGGCCACCCCCTGGATCCGCCACTGGTCCTCACAATCCCCAATATTAATCGTTGTCTTTTAAGCACATGGTATGGCTGGCCAGTGCAAACTTCAAGCCCATGAGTCGGCTTTCGTTTGAGGGGGTGCGTAAGGAAGTGGTTAAGCACCTAACACGGGCATGTATAAGATACAGCATAACCTTCTCCCAAAAACTCGAGTTATTGGGACCAACTGGTTTATGACATGGCATCAGAGCCTTGAGGTCACGTGTTCAAGTCCTCATGACCCCCAATATTAATCGTTGTCTTTCAAGCACATGGTATGGCGTACCTGTGCAAACTTCAAGCCCAAGAGTCGGCTTTCGTTTAAGGGGCGTGTAAGGAAGTGGTTAAGCACCATACACGGGCCTGTATAAGATGCAACATAACCTTCTCCCAACAACTCGAGTTATTGGGACCAACTGGTTGTTGACATGGTATCACAGCCTGGTATAAGATCCAGCATAACCTTCTTCCAACAACTCGAGTTATTGGGACCAACTAGTTTATGACATGATATTAGAGTTGGTCTGTCCTTGAGGTCACGTGTTCACGTCCTCACGACCCCCAATATTAATCGTTGTTTTTCAAGCACATGGTATGGCGGGCCTGTGCAAATTTCAAGACCATGAGT